TACACACAGAGCCCAAAATATGAAATATAAGTTTATATTTATTGGTAATGAGCTACATTTTCCTATCTTTCTACATTTTCTAAGTTTTATATAGTGAGTACACATTCCTTAAGAGCAGGAAAATATAATCACTCTCCCTGTTACGTGTCATAATAGACGCTGCCGTGGCCAACTTCTGAGTGTGCATTTCCACCCCAATGAACAACACTGCCTTACGGCAGCCGGGCGTGGGGGCGCACACCCGCAGTTCCAGCTCTTGGAGGCTGCGGAGGAAGAGCGCATGAATTCACGGCCAGCCTAAACTGCTTAGGGAGGCACTGTCTCAAGAAAACAAAACATCCAGAATTAAAATATGTAAATATTTTACTGGCCCTGTCCTGGGCATGCCAGGGGTGGTAGCACATGCCTGTAATCCCAGCCATCAGGAGGCTGAGGCAGGAAGATCGCTGTGTCGCAAAACATAAATAAATAAAATTATGTATTTATACATCTATATTTTCCTATATAATTAAGTTGTTTGATCCAAAACTTAATCTACTTCCTCATTTATAATTACGACAGACTATATTTTAAAGACCTTGTTAAGCTTCAATTCACAAAATGAAAAGCAATTCTAACATGAAAACACCTAAGAAATAAATTGGTTCAAGATACTTCTCACCAAATCAGACCAGAGAGCTAAACAACTTCTTGAACACTCCCAAACAAGTAAAATTTGGGAGAGAATGCCAAGCTGCTCTCAGCAAGGCGTCAGGCCCCTTTTCTCCCTGGCACTGGGCTACATTCCCAGCCCTCTGCACTTTCTATCTGGAGCCAGGATCCTGCTAAGTTGTGCACGCTGGGCTAAGCTTGCGATCCTCCTGCCTCAGCCTTCCAGAGCCACCGCACTGCCGGCAGGCACCACCTCACCCAGGAGCTCACCCCGTCTCATGTGAGGGTTCATGATGTAGGGCCCATGTCACTGCCCCCATCCAGGTACAGAAGAATAGCCCCAACAGGCCCCAGGGTGCCTAACCCACAGAGTAGTAGCTAACTGGGGGGGGGGGGGGGGACTCCCCCAGGGCCAGCATTGTCCCTGGACCGAACACCCCGCGCTCACTGACCACACAGTCACCGCAGGGGGGCGCTGCAGACCACGTACATGGTCGCCATTGCGATGTCGCGCTCAGAAAGACCAAGTTTGGTGGACTTGGGCGCAGTTGGTAACTCGATCTCGAACTTGGGCAGCTTCGACATAGTGCCGGCCTGCGGAGGGGAGGCGGTAGGAAGCGCTGGCCACCCCCACGGGAAGCTGGTGAGGTCTCCCGAAGGGCGCTCCCAGGGTGGTGGGCACTGCCGTGCGCCTCGTGGTGGTCAGCATGGGAAGGGCGAGGGGAGCAGGAAGGGGATTTGATGGGGGTGCTTAATCTCACCCTAAAATAAAAAGGCTGTAGAACATTCTCAAGGACCGTGGTGGACAGCAGAATCACCGCGCTCTCGGGACAGTACATGTACCAGTTCACATTGATATTGTGGCTTTTCAGGAGTTTCAGGCTCCGTTTCTCAGGTAAGACCTGAAGCAAAGTCCAAACAGCAGAGTCTTCGTTTAAAATAAGAGCAGTACGAGAAAGGATTAATACAGAAAACTAAAAAGATGAAAAGCATAAAACTCTACGGGGGAAGCAGGGCACTTGCGTGGATTTGCTGCAGCAGTGGCTTGTGGAGTCTAGAGCTCCGGGCTTCCCTATCCTAACTCACTTACCTTCACCAGACCCTGGGAGAGGGTCAGAGGCTATGCAGCAGTGACCAGGGTGAACACAGAACCGCGAGGTTCTCATCCTCCAGGAAAGGGGCAGGACACAGCAGCAGCCTAGGACCCCTCCTGCCCACAATACCACCGCCCCCTCCAGCAGGCACCCCTGGGCCTGGGGTGGGGACGCCCTTCCTCTACCACAAGGGCTCCTGAGGCTCTGCGGAGACGTGCAGTCGTGTGTGCACACCCAAGGTGCCCTTCCACTACCCTCCAGGTTCTGGTGCTTCAGAACCCTGTGGGGGCCCCTGGCAGCAGGATGACCTATGGTTCAAGACCAGCCTGGACCACACAGCAAGATGCTGACTCCAACAAATTTTAAAACCTCTCCTTTCCACACCAGCTTACAAACAAAGCTCTTTCCAGGAGATGGATTAAAGCTGGCTTAAAGTTGCCTTCTGCCAGCCACCACCAATTCTGATGCCAGCCCTAGAGCAAAGCACTGTGGCACTGAGCACATGCTTATGCACCTCTGTTTTCCACACCCAGAAATTTAAATTATTCTGCTTTCAATAAGACCAATAAGGGCTGGGGAGATGTTCAATAGAATAAGTGCTTCCCTGGCAAGCGCAAGGGTCTGAGTTCAAGGGCCTGGTTCCGCCAAGAAAAAAAAAAAAGTGAATAAGATTAAACCTGAAAGACCCTAACACTACCTAGGAGAGAGCTTGCTAGCTAGCAGCCACCTGGGCTGGGGCTGCTCAGCATCACCAATCACCTGCAATGCAAACCAAAGGGCGGTCACTGCCACTAAATAAATAAACAACCAGCAATTGCAAGGCTGCAGAGAGACTACAGTTCCTGTATGCTGCTGGTGGGGTGATAAATCGTCTGACTTCACGGTGAGCAACACAGCAGTTCCCCCAAAATTAAAAATTAAAACAACTTCAGTGTGATCCAGCAATCTGGCCTCCGAGGACCCGGAGGAGAAGCTGGGTCCACACCTGAGCTCCCGGCAGTGGCGGCAACGGTGCTCACACTGTGCAGAGGGAAGCACAGGAGGTGACAGCAGTAGGTCCCAGGAAGACAAGAAACGCCTGCGACCCAGCTCAGTCTCAGTACTGCAGCTTACAGAAGTACAAAGTAAGAGGCTGGCTGTGCGCAACACCACTGCTATTCAGTGTAGCTCTGGAGACACCAGCCAGAGCAACTAAGACAAGAGAAGAAAAGAAAAGGAAGAACTTAAAGTATCATTATTTGCAGATGACATGATGGTACTCTATACAGAAGACTCCAAAAACTCCACCAAGAGTTCTACATTTAATAACCAAATGCAGCAGCACAGCTGGATACAAAGTTAACATTCAAAAATCAAGGTCTTGCAACACCCTGAATTCAATTCCTGGTACAAAAAAGAAAAATCAATAGCCTTCCTGTACACAAACAAACTCACTGACAGAGAAATTAGGGAAACCACACCCTTCACAATAGCATCAAAAAAAAAAAAAAAAAGAAAGAAATACCTGGAAATCAATCTAATGAAGGAAATAAAAGACCTCTACACTGAAAACCACAGTACTCTGAAAAATGAGATCAAAGAAGATTCAGTGAATGGAAAGACATCCTTGTTCTTGGGTAGGAAGAACCAACATAGGGAAAATGGCCACACTTCCAAAATGGTTACAGAGTAAATACAATCCCAAACAAAATACCAATAGAAAAAGGACCAAAATGGATGACAGATATGGGGAAGGAGGAAGAAACTATTTGAATGGAAAGGGGACAAGGGACAGGGGAGAGGGAGAAGGGGAAAAGGAGAAACAAAAAAGAATAGAAGGGGAGAATGGAATCAAAGATTTTTAAATAAGGGAGGAAAGGGCTGGGGATATAGCTCAGTGGCACAGTGCCTGCCTGGCAAGACTGAGATCCTGAGTTCGAGTCTCAGCATCCAAGGAAAAAAAAAGTATTAAGGGGACACCCGTTGTGGTGATGCACACCTGTAGTCTCAGCTGTCTGAGGCAGAAGATCATTGTGAGTTTGAGACCAGCCTGGGCTACAAAGTAAGCTCAAGGTCAGCCTGAACTATATAGTGAGACCCTGTCTCAAAAAGACAAAAAATAAATAAGGAGAGGAAGAGGGGTTTAAAGGAGGGGAGGGGATCAAGAAAAAAAGAAGCAAGACATACACAAGTACAAAGTCAATACAAAGAATGTGATTAATATGCACACCTAGAGTCTACAATAAAATTTAATTTTTTAAACAGGAAACATGGGGCTGGGGAGATGGCTCAGTGGAATAAGCGCTTCCCTGGCAAATGCAAGGGCCTGAGTTCAATCCCCGGTCCCGCAAAAAAAAAGA